TTTTTTTTTTTTTTTTTTTTTTTTTTTTTGAATTTTTACATTTAGTTTTTCATTTTGATGTATTACAAAATAATTTTAACATAAATCGATTAAAGTGCGTAAACAAACTCAAACAATGGGTGCAATTATCAGAGTTTGGCTGTAAATTAAATTTCCAGTATAAATATTTTAATGCTAATTTATAATAATTGAATTTTCACGTATGAATTTAACTTTGGGCGCTTTTCATTTCACCGAAAAAAACGGAAACTCCTGTTGGAAAAACAAATGGTATGTTTCAGTTTAATCAGAAAGTTCCGGAACACTCGGTCTATCGATTGAGGTAATTCATTTTTCCCGCTCTTTTCGGTTCTTCTGGTAGACGCGTGTACCATTTGTAGGAAGCCAAAGTTTCTCCCAGCTGATCTGAGAGAAAATGCCAATCATAATCGTGAAAATTTGCAAAACTGAGGTGTCTCTTTTCGTCTTGAAATGATGTATTTCCAAACCACCAAATGAAAAAAATAATGTTCCTAATAAGAGCAATGGTGGACATGTTTTTATTTTTCCCAGCTCAATTTTCACAGGCTTCATGACACTTCAGTTTTGCAGTGACGTCATTTCTACGTCACTATTTCAGATCAGCTGGCAGCTCTTTTATTACCATTAGCAAATGAATTTCCAACGGGATAAATTGGYATTAAATGGAAAGCACTTCCATCAATTGTTATTTCCATCAATTGTTGACCACGAGTTCTCTAATTACTAAAACTTTTTCAAAGATTTTTAAAAAAAAAAAAAAAAATCTCGCCAATTATGTATTTCAGTTGGTTTTCACAGTTCCTCGACATGGCGGCGTCAAAAAGGTTCTAAAATATTGACGACCTTCGATTGTTTTACTGCCAAGTTTAATTATTAATATCAATGAAAATACGGTATAATAGTAGCTTTGCAGGAGAGTTTCAATTCAGTTTTAGCACGCATTCGATACAAGAACGCGTTTCAAGAAATCAAGAGTTTAGGTTGAGGATGATGAAGTTGATCACACGTCTCGTAGTCGTGTTTCTAATTCAGCTAAAAGGTAAGGTCCTTTCTTCATATTATTTCAATTCATTTGAAAGCTAAGCCGAGAAATAGCGAGCGCGGTATCAACGCGTCACCTCGCGTCACAACCTCGGTGCTGAAGTTCAAAAATATTTTTCAAACCTAACGCTTTGGAATTTCTCACTCGCATTCTTGATTAGTGAAATCACTAGAATTTTAACGCGTTGTTCCTATTTCAAATTTAGTTCACAAACTATTGGTTTCATAAAGAGGTTTTCATGATCATTTCAAATAAATGTAGATACTAACCTCATTTCCAACGATTTTCATTTGCCTTTTTTATGTGCAAAAAAGTCAAAATCGCACAATTATGACAGACGAAGAAACGATATTTAGCGGATTGTTTTCTATAGTTCAGTTACAACTCTGGGTAATATACATTTGGCAGTCGTTTTTTTTTTTCTAAAGAAATTTAAGGAAACTTTTTTGGCATTTTTGTGTGAAAGGCGCCATCAACAAAAGCGATATGCCATTTTAGSACGTACTCATTCAAAAACCATTAAGATTGAAGTGTTGTATTTGATTAGTAGCTTCTAAACAATTTACAAACTTTTAATTTTTTTATATATTCATTTTATTTTATTTTTTTATTTTATTTCATTTCATTTCATTTCATTTTATTTTATTTTATTTTACCTTTTTTTTTATTTGACGAAAAGATCTTTAATTCACCATGAAGTTGGTAACTTTAGTTTCTCAAAATTAATACTTTAGTATCTTATACCCCTGGAGATTATCTTTTTGTTCTTCTTGAATTTTCAAAAAGTAGACAAAACAAAAAAAAGTATTTAGTTCAATTTTTATTAATACTTTTGGCCGGATTTCCGCCCGCTGTAGACTAGCTCTTTTCTTGCCTGAAACAGTTATTGGGTATTTTTGTTCCCATTCCCATAAGTTTTGAAAAATATTTTGTTAAAGATTTTCCTTAGTTTATTTATTTATCTTATTTTATTTATTTATTTATTTAATTAATTTTTTTTTTTACGTCTACAACAGTGTATATTACTTAGTTCTATTCCGCCATTAGCCAACGGCAGTACTTAATACCCTCTCTAAAACCTTTAGTTTTTCATTTGGACTCCAGCCAAATTATGAACCTGCTTCTTATTGTATTTATAGTGGAACGTATTCCATCTATTCAAATGGGGACTTTGACGGTTTCTCATAAGTCTCTGACCCGAAAACGAAGACTGTTATTTTGGAACTGGAGTTTTTCGAGAAAAAAATATTACGAAAGCTTAATATGATATCGTTTTCCTAAAAATGTTAGTTTTAGAAGAGTTTTTTTGAAATTTTAAAGGTAAGTCTATTAGAAATAATTTATTTCGATATAGTAATTATTGAGGCTTATCAATTATTTACTGATTTTCAAATTGAAGCACGTTTTGCGGCATTCGTCATCCAAATAGTCCCCTTCACAGTTCCCTGCGCCATCTTGAAAGATATTCGTGCCTTTGCATCGAAGCGAGACGAACGGTGAGCGTGCAATGATAAAGACATCTTTTAACACCTTAGACAATTATTCACATGTCTCTATAATTGCAAGCTCACCGTTCGTCTCGCTTCGATGCAAAGGCACGAATACCTTTCAACATGGCGCTGGGAACTGTGAAGGTGACTATGATTGAAGAAATAATCGAACATCGATCACACCCTTACAGTTCAACCCGACAATGATTAGCAAACTGAAAAGGTGTGAAAAACACCC